GAGAGAGAGAGAGGGCATAATAAGTTTAAAGAAAGAGGAGGGGTTTCCCTCCTTAAAGGGCTTTACGGGCCCTAGGGTGTTCGAATCAAATCAAGATTCAACAATATCTAAAAAAATAAATTAGGTAATCTATGAGGTGAGAGAGATAAATTATCTGAGCCATCTATCCCTGAAATCAACCATCATGATTTAGAGAAAATTTTAGGAATCTTATCCCTTGAATCTTTTGACCCATATCTTGATAAGATAGACTCCTAATTTAATGCATTCCAATTAAAATAGGAGTCCTAGTCCAAGTAAGAATCCTAATCCAAATAGAATTTGTAATTTAATTAGGAGTTTAAATAAATTTTATTACGAGTTTTGGTCAAACTAGGAGATCTAGTCTAAGTAGGACTTCTAATTTAATTAGGTCTCTTTAAATAAATAATATATTATTAAGAGTTTTGATCAAACTAGGAGTCTTAGTTCTGTAGGACTCCTAACTCAATCAGGGCTCGTAAAATAATATTTTAAATTTTATTAGGGGCATCTCACTTTGAGTGTGTGTGTGAGACATTTGGCCCTTATGGGCCCCAATGGCCACCGTATGTGGCCTACCCATTTGTGGGAGCTGGGCCCATGGCACCCCCACGTGGATCCCACATAAAATCAGGCACGTTCTAAATTATTAAATTTCAATATTCCCCTTCTAGGTCTTTCACAGTAGAAAAAACAATTACATAATTAATAATTAAAGCTGAATAAATAAATATTTCTAAGGTTCTTAAAACACATAAATACTTCTAGAAGTGGTTTGGTACAAATAGGTCAACAATAACGACTGTTAGGGCATTCCACCAATGCCAGGATCCATGATCCACATCTGTCCTCAAACCAACTCAACAAGACCAATGACCCAAAGTCATGGGTAGGGACTCATGATTGGCCTGTCAAAGTTAGTCAATAAACAATGGAACAATAGTCCCAATATGTAGTTTACAGGTTCTTCCTCTTAAAGAGCAAGTCAGATGCACATATCACTACAATGCAAAGGGGCCTCTCTATGCGGTCGTCATATGTATAAGCCGAGCAAAAGTTTTGTTTTGAGGGTTTGACCCTTGCTCTCACAGGCCCATAACCGCACAAAGGAAACCACGAAGCTCTCCTAGCCTACAAACCATCATTGGACATCTCTCCAACCTCAACATGGGATGACCCACTATAAAACCTCAACGGTAGTGCTGATGCCCAAGGGAAAGGGTGTTTGGATATGACTCGGGTAATAGACCGCCTAACCCTAGGTCAACCACCCAATTATGCTCTCTCATTGAAGTGTACAACTCACTATATTTATTATATTTACATGCGGTCACAGGCTTTAAAGGCTAGAAACCCCAATATCTCCCACTTGGCCTTTGAAAGATGTACAATCACTCCCTCTCACTCTCTCTCAAGCCCATCCTGTGTACATTCTTGGCAAACACATTTGCCACAAGCCCTTTGGTCAAAGGATCAGGCACAATCACATCTGTAGGGAGATAAGCGACCTCGATATCTCCTGCTCGGATCTCATTGCATATGTGGTAATACTCCGCATTTATATGCTTGGATTTCTTATTAAAGCATGGTCCTTACCTACACAAATTGTTGCCTGGTTGTCGCAAAAGATCCTCACACACGAGCACTTTACCGGTTCAAATCTAAGCTTAATTAGGAACTTCTTCAACCAGACAGTTTCTTATGTAGCGAGACAACAAGCCATATACTATGACTCCATATTAGAGAGCGCAACGACGTCCTGTTTCCTTGAGCACCAAGAAATGGCTCCACTAGCTAGTGCGAAGATATTTTCGGATGTGGACTTCATCTCATATGGCTCACCATGATAATCCACATCTAAATATCTTGTATCTGAATATTTGGGCCCATAAGTGAGCGCGAGATTAACGGTTCCCATCAAGTATTGCAAAACTCTTTTTATTGCATTTTAGTGCTCCATGCCTAGATGACTATGGAACCTACTAATCAGACTCATAGCAAATGACAAGTCCAGTTTCATCTCCAAAATAACATACATCAGTAACCCAATTGCGCACTTCTGTATGTGATTCTCTGCATGGCATCTTTTTCTTCTGTTCTTGTGGGACACATGGCTAAGCTAACTTCATATTCTTATCAATATGGGTCAACATGGGCCTACAATTATCCATTTCAAATCTATCCAATATTTTCTTGTAGTATGTCTCTTGAGATAGCTGAATGGTTCTCTCTCTTCGGATTCACGTTATTTTAATTCTCTGAATATAAGAAGCCTCTCCAAGATCTTTCATGTCAAAGTGTTGCAATAAGAAAGCTTTTGTTTCCACAACAAGACTCATCGAAACAAGACTCATCGAACTATTGACAATTTGCATGTCATCAACATACAGGGAGATAAACACAATATCACTCCCATTCAAACCATTGCAACAAGCAAGCTTTTCCTTGTTGATGAAGCCTTTTGGCTGCTTCATATAAATTTCTTCTTCTAACTACCCATTCAGAAAAGTTGTCTTTACATCCATTTGGTGGAGTTCGAAGTCAAAATGGGCTGTTATGGCTATGAGGATCCTGATGGACGGGAACTTAGCTACAACGAAGAAGGTCTCATTATAGTATGTCACTTCTTTTTAAGTAAATCCCTTGGCCAATAATATGGATTTGTACTTTTCTAGCTTGCTTTTTGAATTCAATTTCTTCTTAAATATCCACTTGCAGCCTATAGGTTTTCTATCAGGACGTAGCCTTATCAGATCCCAAACAAGGTTTTGTTTAATTGAGTAAACTCATCAATCACGACGTTTTCCCACTGATTCTTTTCTGGACAAGTTGTGCGGTTTCTTGATAGGATCATGGTTCACGCAAGGATTCTTCTTCAATTCGCTCATAATATTCTCCTAGGAAGGTAAAGAAATCAGGTGTTCTCCTAATACGATTACTTCTTCAAGGACACGGTGGTTAGGTGTCTCGAATCTCATCCATGTCACTCATTAGCGCACAAATATCT